AATTTCTGCCTTGTGTCTGTAGCTCAGTCTTGTTATCTCTCCATAGTCCAAAAGATAGCGCGCGTGCACACACACACATACACACACACACACACACACACACACACACACACCAACGCTACATCAGAGTGCAAGCATAAAATAACATCCTAGGATCAAAATAGGACTTAAAATAAGTAGATATGAAGGTACCAGAGAATCTGGTACCAGGTCGTGTATATAGTGAACAATAATTAGCATAGTCTACAGAAAGGTTCATTGTCAGTGGCTCACTGGTTCTCTGTGCTTTCTTAATTAAGATTTCTTCTTGTCCTGGACCCAAAAAAAATTTACATTTAATAAGGCAAGAAAAAAAATCCTGTTTTTGCAGCGTGTCTTGTTTTCCCACCCAACTGTCTCAAACGTCTGTCTTTGTGAACTTGTCTTCACCCTGTTTTATGTACAATCCAAACTGCCCCTCTGCCACAGCCAATTCCACAGTCGTTCGGTGACTTCTATGATAAATGCAGCCCTTAACCCTCCCAGGCTCACTCTGACTCCACAGCTAATGAGCTAAAAGAAGACTCTTGGGGCCTCTGTGGCTCATCAGGAGGGCGTACTCCATCCACACCTTGAGAAAGACAGTTCTCCAGCTGGCAAGTTGATGACTAAGGGGCAGAATGGTGACTCCCATCTGATCCCCACAAACACTGCGACATTCTTGAAAGCTAAGCACACTCTCTGTAAACCGCTGCTAGCTGAGTGGAGGCCCCGTGAGTGCAAAGGCCTCACTCAGCCGTGTGCTTCTGTTTCGATAGCATTCTCTGCACTAGCTGAGCATCCTCTCTATGGCACTGAGCCTTATACCTACTGTGTAAGACCCCGTAAAAAAAGGAAAATTGTGGCAAGTCCTTCTGTTGGTTAAAAAACACATATCTATCATGTAAACCTCCTGAAGTGGCAGGGGTTCCATCTGCCTGTTTTTCCAGGTTGGTGAACAGAAGTCCTTTGTGCAAAGACCCTAGGGGTGGCCTAGCCCTTGCTTTGAATGCTCTACAAGACCCAATGTCTCCTGTTTCTGCTCTCTCTCTCTCTCTCTCTCTCTCTCTCTCTCTTTCTCTCTCTCTCTCTCTCTCTCTCTCTCTCTCTTTCTCTCTCTATCTCTCATTAGAGCCTGCCTATAACCTGACTTTTAACTTCTCTAAGCTCCTTTTCCACACCTGGGCATGTACCTGGGGCAGCATCTGCCTCACAGAGATGTTGGGAGAGTGGAATGTGACACTACATTTCAAGTATTTATGCCCGATATATACTAATAATTTATAATTTTTCCAGTTTCAATGAACATAACAGTCATTACTTCTGCTCCAACAGAAACAGAATAAATAATTGCTGAAATATTGAATCAATGGCCCATAAAGAAATCTAAGGTAGATTCAGCAGAGGTAGTCAATTCAACTATTACTCAACAAGATTTTGTAAACTATTGTCTCCCTTTTTAAAACAGCAGTTAGTCATCATGTTTAGAGATGTATAAAGGAGAGCATCGTTTTGAATTTTTTTATATGTGTTAAAATGTATGGCTATAATTTGATGAAAAAGTCCCTTTTGAGGTTAAAGTATACTTTTGCTTTTTAAAAACAGCTGTTGCTACTGGATCTATAAATGTATAAGTAACTTCACCTCAGTTAGAGCTGTTAGAATGCCCAAAAAGTGTCTGTTGTTTCAACTGGGAATAGCAACAACACCTACTTACTTTCTTAGTAGACTCTATATATGCAGTTCTCACAACTCAGGTTCTCCATCTTTTCTTCTCTATGGCAAACACATTCCCCTAAGTTCCAGAACTTCACTTGAAGCTCTTTGCTGATTCCCAGTCATTTCCCCCACTCCCTTCTAACAATAATTCATCCCCCACCCTGCCCACTCTTGCTTGGTTGTTTATGCAGTGTGTTTAGTCATCTCCCGAGACCTACAAAGCAGGGACTTTCAGCTAAATTTCACAAACGGGACAGCTGGGCTCAGAGTTTCATTAACTTCTGATCCTCACAGAGCAGTTTGCAGGTGAGAGATCTGATTCCAGTTGAACTGAGATCTTTGTAACTCATGAGCTTTCTCACCACCCAGGGTCTAGCCTGCTACAGACTCCCCACCCTTAGCGCTTTGTCTCACCCTGGTTTCTCTTGGGTTTTATGATGCCCAGACACACTTGTGACCTCTAGATTTTTTTTACACTCAACTAAATTCTCTGCTTATGATTATTTCTTTTCATACACTCCCCTCAGTAGGGAATCTAACTTGTCCACTCTACTTGAGAACAAACAAATCTCGAACAGAATACCCAGGGTAGATCTTACCTGCAACACTGTTTCTGTGCACTAAAGCCCTGTGTTGTTTTACAACCCACTCTGTAAGACAATGTGGCATTATGTAAGCAATTTGTCTCTACACAAACAAGCATGGTAAAGAGGCAGCTCAGTGTGATATTTCTTTGTTTCTCTCATCCTCTCTGGTTGAGATGAAGTCTTTGCTGTGTGTCACTAGTCTTTCTCCGCAAATTTACAGATTAGTGTTGCAAATAAAACAAATAAAGTGAAATTCACTTGACCAAATTACTGAACACAGAAGCCTCTATTACTGTCCCACTGAATGTAGTTTGCCCATGAAGACTCCATTAGGCTTGTTGTCTGTCCCATGTAAAGCTTGCCTTCCTCTTTTAACTTAAAGAATTCTTTCATCTGAGAGTGTACGATAAGTTTCTATTAGTGAGTTTATTTTATAGCACTAAAATAACATTTCCAAGATGCCGTAGGAGAAATTTTTAAAATTAAAAGCATAAAAATCATGGAAACACTCTAATTTTTATCATCTCACCTAGAAAGCAATGTCCAGTAGAACATCTTTCCTCTATTATAATTTTTATGTAAGGTTTTGTCAATGTATACGATAGATGGGATTTTAATGAAGTTGTTAAATGTTCTTATATTCCAAAACTTCTCAATAACATGGCTCCCACTGTCTGGCAGATGGCTAGACTTCTACACTTTAACAGTAACTCACAATCTTTCACCATCTAAGAACACCTCTGCTGAAGGGTGTGAACATTCCCAGATCTGGTTATCGTCTGTTTTAGCTGTCTGAATATTTCGCAGGATCTATTAGCCCAGAAACAGAAAATGGTCCATGGCTCAGGGGTTTCACTCTGCTTATTTGGGTCAAACACATATTTGGGCTACTCAAGTAACTAAACCTCAAAAATGTTTTCTTTGGGAATCTGACTGTGTATAGCTCCTGCCACGTGACGTTTTCATTATTAAAACCAGCAGTCAAAAGTAGACTAATAGAGATTGTCTATCTTAATATGCTTGCTCTGCGTGGCATTGTAGGTTGATTTGCTTTGCCCTGTGGCAGGCCAAACACACACATAAATGCACACACATGCATGCATATGCACACAAACTCATGCACAGACAGTACTTTTTCTCACAGCCCAGCAGCGTCTCCTGTTGTCCCTGCACAACTGTTCCCAGACAGAAGGTCTTGAATGTGGGTCTCTGCTTTAACTCCCACAGTTACTTTCAGTGTGTTCAGTTGTAAGGATTAGTGCTGTCTTCTTGATACTGTGGAAAGTTTGCCATGACCAAGTTCTATAGTGGAAACAAAACATGACTGATTCTTCAGGCCACACAGTTCCTCAAAAAAAAAAAAGCAAGATCTTCTACTATCTTAGTTCTCCCTCTTTAGCAATAGTCGCTAAGGATCTATTGCTATCATTTTGATTACCAATGACGTTGCTGACCTTTGGACAACTATTTTCGTTATCATCAACACATGGCAACTGAAAAGACTTTCTTGAAAAGAAGGCTCAAAGAGGAGAATCTAGAGTGAGGGTGTAGCGATGGTTTTCATGCTGTGCAGTTTGTTAGACACTGACAAGAAGGTTGCATTGGTAAACTCTCAGCGTGTCTGGCAGTACGATCATGTGATTGAGGCACTCCAACTGTGTGTGTGTGTGTGTGTGTTTTATGTGTATGTGTACACTGTATGGGTGTCTTATTCTTGTTTTCTGTTGCTGTGATAAAATGCTGGCATAAACAATTTAAGGTATAAAGGACATGTTGACCCACAATTCCAGATTACAGTCCATAAAAGAGAAGTCAAGGTGGTAAGAATTTGAAGGAGCTAGAAGCATCCATGGTCAAGAACAGGAAAGCCATGAATTAATGCATGCCGGCTAGCACTCAGCTCTGTTTCTCTACTCCTGTACAACTCAGGATCCCCTTTTAAGGGAATGATGATGCTACCCACAGTGGGCATGTCCTACCTCCTCAGTGAATGTGTTTAAGATGACAGCAGTAGACATGCCTGCAAGCAACTTAATCTAGACATCTGATTGTAGTTTGAGTCAAGTGGACAGCACAGACCACCACAATGGATATGTGTGTAAATGTCTACTCTTTACTCCAAAACATATATGCAGACATATCTGAGCACCTAAGTAGTCATGCTTTGTGCTTGGTAAATGATGGGATTCAATCTCTAAAATGACAAACTGGGGGTCATTCGGAATTTTCCCATGTCTCGAGTTTTCACAACCTATTAAGGAAATCTTGACTGAACTCTGTGTAGGGACCAGTGTCCCTCTCAGAACATGACATGTGCATGTGTCAGTTTCAGCAGTTTAGGAGAAGAAAAGCCTTCAAACTTTATTGCCTGGAGGCTCCAAGGGCAGGTCCTGAACCTCGGCATGGTGAACGTGAGTCTGTAAACTGAACTAGAAATGGCTCCTAGATATTAGCTCAACATAGGAAACGGCTTAAACAGCAAATGCATCACAGGGCTTTTGTTAAGCCTCAGACAGACACAAGGTTTTATCTGTTGTTCTGCACTCAGGGAAGTTGCACGTCAGGGTCCTGAAGAGCACCTGTTGCATGCTTGCTGACTGTTTTCATGCGTGTTTGTCTCTATGTATGATTAATACACACAATGTTTTTCTTTTCTTTCCTTTTCCCTTTTTGTAGAAATTATTGAGCCTACTACCTCTAGTCCTGTCACAAGTCCAGGTCAGTATCCACATACATTTACAAAGTATGTCTGGGTACTTTTTCCGTCAATCAAATTTCTGCATCATTGCAGAAACACAACCAGTTGCTTCTGGGCCGCAGGCATGGGTGTGGCTCTGGTGTCTGTCATCTGTTCTGTCTCTCTGTGATGTGTCCTCACTCTGGGTCCTGTGTGTGGTGCCTGATCTGGTTGGTGGCGTACAACTGTTGCTTCATGTTGTAGGGTTTGTGTCAACTCTTGAAGCCTTGCAACCTGATTAGCTATACTCTGCCTTCACAAACAGAGCTGTGGAGAGTTTACAAGGTTTATGAGTAGCTATTTAAAAACTAATTACTTTAGCTGGGTATTACATTATTACGCAATCATTATTAGGCAAGAAAGCATTTAGTGTTTCCATAAGGGGATCATCTAGGGAAGGTTGGTTCTCCCACTCCACTCTTTCTATATTCCAGCAGGAGATCTTGGTCTCTCAAACTGTCAAGGCAAAGGACTGATTTCAGCTGTAGGCCTTTATTTTCAGATTGTTCCCAATTCAGCTGCAAACATTCATCTGTGACGATGGGCCATTGCTGTGAGAGTGTTTTTAAGAGTTGTTTTAGACTGGGAGCATTTCTGAATGACACCAAAAAATCAAGATAAAAGCTATTGGTATTAGAGACCACCTTTATCTTGTTACATAGAAATTCAGTGGCTCATTCCGAACACTCTCTGCCAGCTATTTAAAGACGGGAGTCAAACCTACTGAAGTCATTTAGCTTTGAAAAAACTTACATGGACTTCTATAACCGCTGAGTAAAAGGGTTTCAGATGCTGCCTACCATGAGGAGGTGTAAGTTAGTTAAATAGTTGTTTGTCTCCTGTTCCATAAATGGCACTAAATTTTAGTCTAAAATAGGATTTGCTGATCTGAGAAACTGAGAGGTTTAGAAAGGAAAAAAAATTGTATCTCAAATTGTAATCAATCAAAAACTGTTTTAAATTGGCTTGGGTGATTATGAATGCCCCGCCCCCACAGTGAGAAGAGCTAGATCAGGCTTATGATTAAGTATTTAAAGAGTCTCATAGTGCAACACTTTCTGCTCGGATTATAGGGATACATTTTCACAACCTCTCGAAGCGAAGCATATTTGGATAGACCGTCTGAAATGGTTTTACCACTGACGTAGGCAAGGTTGGTTTACATGATGCTATTAACCACGGTGCTCTGTTTTAGGTGGGACTAAGAACCCCTGAAGTCTGAACACAACATTCATAGTTACAGCTTACGAAAGATCTGATTCCTGTGGTTACCCATAACTTCCACGGGACGACGTGTTCCCAGGCTGCATGAGGTCTTAGAATTAGTTGTTTGAATATGTATGCCCTTTGATCTTCTTTTCTCCTATCGATTCTAAAAGATGTTAAGCGATTCCCTTATATTTCAGCCAGCTCCTGGGTAGATGCAATCTTCACTTCCTTTTCTTCTTAAGCTGCATCTTAGATAAACACTTGCTAGTTTAAAAGTTGAAGGCGCTTCCCTCAGTTTCTCAAGTGAAAGAGTGGGATGCAAGCTATTTTGAAAGGTGGTGTCTAGTAGCATCTGAGTGCATGCTTGCTTTCTGTGTTTGGGGGGTGGATGATTGTATAAGACAGGAGGACCAAGAGCCGTTCTCAGCAGACACTTTGCGTCACATGCTCTGTCAGTAGTGGGGACCCATTTGTTTGAAAGGCCTGCTTTAAGCAAACAAGGAAATTGTTTCCATCTGTATCAAAACTCTTCTATCTCTCGTGTAGTGCCGAAGAACATCAAATCTCAGCCAGCCCGTCTGGGTTTAAACCGTTGCTGTAGAACTGAGTTCCTCCACAGCGTGACCTTTGAAAGTCTAATGTAAGCTTTAAAAAAAATTCATTATAGGGGAAGTTAATAAATACATGTTGAACTGAATTGAATTGATGAACTGAAAGACAGAAAACAAGAGCAGCTATCAATGAAAGTTGGCTTCCATTAATTGCGCCTTTATTAAAGGCCTCCCAGGAGCAGCGTGGTTGGGCAGGGGGTTTAAAAAAGTGTGTGATCTAAGCAGGATTAGCCGCGCGATGAAGAATAAACAAATAATCTTGAAAGTGTGGGCTTGTGCTGAGCATGGTGTAGGGGAGGCTGGCAATGCGCGGCCCTAAGCAAACGTCCATTAAAGCTTTTTACAAATGAAGCCAAATGTTGGTAGCCCCAGCTGCATGAATCAAGCGTTAAGAAAATGCCATCCAAAGAACAATAGAAAGTGGAAAATTCTCACTAAAGTATTCAGCGGAGATATCCAATTTGCTGCTTCTACATAAGTAGAGGAAAGAACAGAAGCAGAATTGAAGCAGACCTCATAATTCCTGATATCACTCCGAGAGAGTTAAAGCAGAGATAAAGTGGACACAGTTGCAGGGACGCCGGGCACGTTGAGGGTAGAAGGGAGAGAACAGATTTATATCAGTCATGCTCGGGACATTCCGAAGAAATGAAGGTCTCGAAGTCATAACTTATATTTTTATATATTCTTGAAAAGTCAAAATGTGTCACCATCTAAGGGAGCGGAATCTGAATTATTAACAGCTTTATTCAAGAAAAGGCCACAAAAAGGGAAGATGCAATAAGAACAAAAGAAAAAAACTTTCTTTGATCCACCTCAGCCTCAGTGTCTGAGAGGTAAAGGCCATTTTTCATGATGAGGGAGACGTGTGGCGAATCTGAGAATTTGGTCTCCTTTTATGATAATTGCCGGGCTGGAATGTGCTATTCTGGGTAATGGTCCAGGCTAACGCACGCCCATCATTAGGCAGAGAAGAGAGGCGACCGTATTTAAACACACACAACATTTCTATTTAATTTTTTTAGAGCAAACACACATTTTGTGATTATCTTTGAAGCATATTTTAATAGTAGAGCTTTATTTAAAAAGGAAAAGGAAAAGGCAGAGTGCAGCCAGTAGATGGTTTACTTTTCCTAATGCTAGGACAGGTTTGTTAGCACAGCCTGAATACCTAAGCCCACACTATCCTCTGCTGTGACTTCAGTTCTGACTGCTGTAGGCTGAAGTTCCAAGTCCAAAACCAACCCACCACGATTTCTTCACACTGATCATACACTTACTGTTTATGCCTTCCCAGCCTCGCAATGACCCTTCAAAATTTAAATTTCAGTCACACCAGCATCCACTTGGCTTTGTGTATCTCTCAAAACAAAGGGAATCACTTAGGTGAGAAATAAAAGAGCAAAGTAGGTTTCGTCCATGGCACCTGTGAGGTCCCCCCTGAAAACTGTCCACACTTGACTCCAGGGAAAAAATATATTTATCAGATTTATTACGAAAATCATTTAATTGTTAAGTGCTTGCCATTGATAGTAAAATTAATTTACTTCTCCTTAGACAAATGAAGACAGATGGGGGAGTGTAAAAAATACGATTTTTCCATACAGCCATCAGCCACTCGGTATTTTTAGCAACACAATCTTCCCACTACCTTTGTAAAGTGTCACTATTTAAAAATGACTATTATTAAGCTTAATGTGTTTTGGTAGTTAAACATGAATTTATGTCCATTAATGAAAACCAGTTCCATTTGACAGCCAAGGAGAGAAAAAGAAAACAGTTACCAAAGGGAACTCAGGAGGTATGTCCAGAACCAAAATTAAAAACACCCAACACTCTGCCATCAAGTATGCATGCCTGGATCTAAACAACAGCAAGTATTTGTGAAAGCATAAAAACTGGTATCAGTAAACAAGGAGATGCCAGGTGATGTAAAAGAATTCCCAAGCTGAGCAATTCCTGTTTGATTCATCGACTTGGCAAATCAACCTTCCCTTTGCTGGCTGAAGTTTTCTTAAAAGGGGAAAACACCTTTATTGAGTACCCCAGGAATTCCCATTTCCTCTGAACAACACAGTTCAACATTTAGCAAACATCCACTGAATGGCAACTGTGCTGGGCACCAAGTGAGTGCTGAGATCCCAAGGATAACTTCAGGGTGGCCTGGCCTACGTAGGAGACAGCATATCATTAACCACTAGTATAATGCAATGCCTTCGGTGATCTTAGTTTAGAGGGAGGAGCATGTGATTTTTTTGCCTGGAGAAAGCCTTCACTTGTGCAAGCTGTCCTCGCACAGTCAGAGGATGGGCATTAGTAGACACCTCAAGCAAAGGGGATGCTTAAAGGCAATGGCTAGGAACTGCAGAAGAGAGAGGGTGGTGGCTAATTGAATTCTCCACCCTTGTGAGCTAATTTCTGCACTCTATCCTCCACAAACACCAGATGGTGCCAAGGAAGGCACAGAGCAAGCCACTTTAATGGCACATTTGAACCAACACATGATCACAGACATCACAGGTTTCCTTGCAGTGAGCTAACCCAACACCTTTGGCTTCACTGCGGGTGATACCCAACTTTCTTCATTTTGAAACTCTTCTAAAAAGTAGCCATTGCAACAAACGTTGAAGTTGCTTTGTTACCAAGCTAGCTGACACTCGCTTTCTTGTATCAGCTCCTAAAATACTGTGTGTACTAGAATTTTTTATGTGTTTGTAGTATTATGTTAAATAACCTTATAAAGCACAACATCAAATTCCATACTGGAAAAAATAATATCAAGAAATAACTATCCTGTGAGATGAATAAATGAATAAGTTGCTGTGAAAACTAAAGTTGGTGCATGAAAAGAATCTTTTGAGAGCCTCAGTAGAAATATCCACAGGTGGAGAGAAATAAAACATTCCATTTAAAATCAGCCTAGCAAGAAAATGGAGTAGTTTGTCCATTTCATTACTAAACATAAACGTTTCAAGTTACAATGACTCTATTGAGTGTGTGTGCCTCACTAGCTATGAATGACAATATGGATAGGAGCCCAATGTCTGTGAATGATGGATGGATGGATAGATGGATGGATGAATAAAATGATGAATGGATAAGTGAATAGGTAAATGAATAGATATATTGAGGGGTGAAAGGATAGATGGATGAATATATAA